CCAATGTAGAAATACTGACCTAATAATAGCTAATGAAAAACTGGCTAAAGTTAAATATGGGTAAACAGAAAGAAAGTATGCATATAAAAAAGTATAAATACAGGATGGTACAAGACTAAAGTGTTTTAACTATGGAAGCAGAGTGACAATAAGCTGAAGGTCAAGGATCATTTTAGTCTGTGGCTTTAAAAATGTCTAATGACAAGTATACTTTGAAAACTGGGGAATAAGTATTCTAAAACTAGTGTGTCTTCAATTAAATTCCAAACTACAGGTGAAGAGATATGACAAAAAGATGTCAAGAGAATTTTACAAGATTATTTGGGTCCGGGAGAGACAACTGAGTTAAACCAAGTAATCAGCTGTAAAAGACAGACTATATCCTGTAAATACAATCCTATTAACATAAAAAAAAATAACACCATTGCTTACACACTTAAAACAAAAATCTTCAGGTAAACAAAAATGCTTCCCAAGGACTGCAACAAGAAACAAAAAAGATGGCAAGCAAGAGATGAAGGTGATTGACAGGAAATCATGCGGGGTGATAGGAGGAGATGGCAGAAGTCCACATAATTATCTCCGGCAAACAAAGAGGCCTCTCAAACTGTGAAAAACAAATTCATTATCGTAACAATCCTTAGAGAGAAAAACCAGGGAAATGCTATCATTACATTTAGACCTTTTACAGGAAAACTAGACAAGGCTCCAAAAGAATCTTACAGTCTTATCTGCTTCCTGTCTGTGCTTTGTAAAATCCACTATCACCATTCTACCCCCAACCCAGGTAGTGAACTCTGATAATGGTCTAATATTGGCCTTCAACAACAGTCCAACCAGAATGACTGCCGATAAGAGCATGCCTTTAGACAGAATTATCACCACCATATGCTTTGGAAAACATAACTCTTGCACACAGTACTGTTTTTTAGAGGCATCTCTTTCTTTCTCCTTTCCTTCCTTATCTTTCCACTATTCTTTCCCTGAAAAAGTGAATCTAGATATGTGAGCAAAAGATAATTATGCTCAACATACTAGAGAGTAAAATAATAAAATCTGATCTTCAAGTGATTTATCATCATGTATGCTGGCATACTTCATGTATGCACAGAACTTCTAATGAGATATAACTGCCATTTTCTTCATGGCCAGTGTATTCATTCATTTATTCCACAAACATTGATGCCTCTGTGACCTAGGCACTGTGTCAGATTTTTAAAAAAAGACCAAAAAACAAAAAACCCATTGCCTTCGAGTTGATTCTGACTCATAGAGACCCTACAGAACAGAGCAGAACTGCCCCATAGGGTTTCCAAGGAGTGGCTGGTGGATTCAAACTGCTGACCTTTTGGTTAGCAGCCGAGCTCTTAACTACTGCACCACTGGGGCTCCTTGCCAGATAGAGAGGACATAAAGAATAATAGGACAAGGTAGTTCTTGGAAGCTCATAGTATAGTAAAGGAAAATTACCTAAAAATAAACAGGGAAAAAGCACAGGACAGAATTTCCATACCATCCCTGAAGACACTAAAGAACTACTCTATTAACCCTGGACTGCCTACCTCTAGATTTTTTGTTGTATGAGAAAAAAAAAACCCTCTAATTTGTTTAAGCCATTGTCCTCTTTTTATTCTTAAGGTTTTAGTATTCTTTCAACAGAAGTTAGGTATGTACATAAAAAATTAAATAGTTTTACAAGTTAAAATCTTTCTTTGGTAAAATAAAACATAGATATAAATATACACACAAGTCAAATGTATGGCTTAATGAATTATCACACAGACACCACCCATGATATCAAGAAAGGGAACTTTGCCAGCAACCCTAGAAGCCCCTTCCATGTGCTCCTAATTACAACCCCCTCTCTCTCTACTGCCTTTATATTAATAATCTTTCCTGATTTTTCCATAGGCAGTTTCATCACCCAAATGTGCATCCTTAGATACTATAGTTTAGTCTCACTCTACTAAAAATTGGACGTCTTTTAAATCTAATAATTTAGATTTTTATTTTAATGTAATAATTCCTCCTCCATTCTTTTCTTTTCCTTATATTTATTAAAGAACCTGGGACATTTGCCCTATAGAGTTTCTGACAGTCTGAATTTTGATAACTGCATTCTCTTGGTGTAGTTCAATGTGTTCTTCTGTCTTCTGTATTTCCTGCAGTCAGACTCGAGTTTAATCCTGTTGGCAAGACTATCATTAGTGTTTGGCAAGACTAGGCACATAAGGTCTGGTTGTTTTTGTGATAATAGCTGTTGATGTTTAGTCTATATATTTTCACTTGTTGGATGTTACAAAAGGATGATATTTCTTTTCCATCTACTAATTAGAATATTTTTAAAGAGAGACAATTTTCATTATCTACTATCAAGTTACCCTGTACTATCATTCCATAAAGGCAAGGCAGAATAAATACTTGATTCTCTTCCTTTATTGATAAGTTTTTAAGATCATGAATTGGTTCCCTATCATATTGAGGTGACAATTCCTTTTTATTTTAATATTATTACAATTCACAGATTTTAAAATATTTGCTAGGTTTCAAACAATTCTAATTATCATCATTTTTGAAGCTCAAATTGCACCATCTTAAATCAGTTCCAAGCTTCTTCAAGGTGGCTCCTGAGTTCTTTTGTGAGGCACTAATAGTTTTTTTCTTTACTGAAATATAATTCACATAAAACTCACCCTTTTGAAGTGTACAGTATATTTGGTATATTCACAGCATTGTGTAACCATCACTAGTGTCTAATTCCAGAAAAATTTCATAACCCCAAGATGAAACCCAAGGAAGATTTACTTTCACCTCTACAAGATAGCTAGAGACAGTGGCATCAAGAACCAATTTAATTCAATTAAATGATTCCAAGCTGTATTTCAGTTCCTGAGGGGATCTCTCTACTTCTCAAAGCATGATAGCTTTATAAGGAAATCTCCCTTGGTAAAACCCGAACTCTAATTTTTCCCCTTTCCCCACGGGATATCAATAGTGACAATCAGCTTCTTAGCCCCTTCTTCCAGAATCAATAGGTGCCCTAGTAAAAACATCTCAAATGCCTGGCTCACTCCTCTAGGTTTTCTTCTCCTCCTGGATTGTGGCTTGGTAATTCTTTACTGCCTCTGATTCTTTCAAGCAGATGTTGTTTATATTTGTATAGCTTTTCTAGTTATCATTAAGAGTAATCCTCTTAATTTATAGGCTACCATTACCGGAAAAGAGGTCCAGGTTTTATAAATTCATACTTTATAGCAATTTTTCTCAATGGTAGTGCTACTGGTATTTGGGATAAAAATTCTTCCTGGTGCAGAAACATCCTGCAAACTGTGGAATGTTTAATACCCTGGTCCTAAGCACTAAATGCCAACAAGAATACCCTCCCCACTAATCATTGTAAAAATTCCAAAGTATGAGAGGTTTATAAGGCACTCATTAAGTACAAGAGAAATGGTGGTATTTGGGAATGTGAAATAATTTTGTGACATACTCTTCTATTCCTCTTTATGGTAAATCTTTGCTTCAATTAATACTTTAGAGGTATACAGCCCCCTCTAAAGGTAAAAAAAGAAAAGTCAGGTGACTAGCCCTTGCCTAAAGTAATAAAGTCAATAATAGGGAATATGAACAGGCTGTAGGAGAGTCCATGAACTCCTGAAATTATTTCCAAAATTTTGTAGAGAGAGGGTTTAATCAACAAGATGTTCTTGGGGGAGAGAGAACTTATTTTACACATTAAAGAAAATGGCTTTCATTACATTAAGATTTAGTTGAGATGACTCGGCGAGTAGAAACTTTCACTGCGGAAAGAGAAGGAAGATGTAATTTTTTAGAGTTGGAACTCCTGGGGGAAGGCAGATATGATGGGGAGGAATTACTCCTTTGGGATTGGTATTATCATTCATCTTTATTAGGATACTAGAAGACTCAACTTTCACTTACACTAATTTCTTCTGAGGCCTTCTAAATTTGATTGATTGAAGCCAAAGCAAAAGAAGAAGGATGGGGCCATTAATGCAAAAAGTTACAAGCTATAGAGCTGAGCAAGGAGTAAAATTCAACATGAGATCAGAGGGAAACAAGAGAGTAGAATTTTTATGCAAGGAACTAGGAATTCCACACAAAGGTGAAGTATGGGCCCCAGTGAAGATAAGGCTTCAAGACAGCCAGAAAAAGACAATCACAGACAGAGAACAATGACAAAGACTGACACAAAAAGAACCGGACACTCATAAGGAGGCACATGAAAAGGACAAGTTAAGAGATAAAGTAAATAGGAATCTTTGGACAGCCCTGGTTTGAAACACTCTCGGTTTTAAGTTGTTATGTTATTCCTTAAACGTAGTATAAGCTGCCCAATCTGCAAAAGGTACTTTCTAGTATACTACTCTCAATTCTTCATCCTAGCCATTGCTGGAAAATTGTAGATGAAGTCCAGAGACGTGCAGTGGGATGACAGAATGGAACTTTTAGTTCCATCTAACAAGGTCTCTACAAAACAATTCATCTAAGGAAAAGCAAAATATACTATCTGCTCATCTTTTAAAGCATTAAAAAAAAAAAAAAATTAGCCACTTCCCAAAAGTATAATTAAACAGAGCAAAAGGGGCTTAAGTTAAAAAAACAAACAAACACACACACACATACACAAGAAGGAACGAACACTAGGTTAGATTACAGTTGCCACAGAGTCTCTTCTGACTCATGGCAACGCCATGTGTGTCACAGTAGAGCTGTGCTGCATAGGGTTTTCAATGGCTGATTTTTTGGCAGTAGATCATCAGGACTTTCTTCCAAGGTACCTTTGGATGCAGCCAAACCTCCCATCTTTTGGTTAGCAGCCACGTACATTAATCATTTGCATTACCCAGGGAGTTCTAGGTTATATTAGGACCCACAAATTGCTTCTTGATCTATGACAGGTGATGTGAGGTTAAAATAAATCTTTGTTTTTCATAGGCTTCTTCAAAAGGACATTGGGAATGGGAGAAAAGACATACCCAACTGCTGGAACAGGAGAGCCACACTAGTGCCTGTGACAGGAAGACTATCATGTAAAGGAGTCTGGATCAGCTGTCTATCTCCTGCACCCAATGAAAAGAGCTTCTGCAGAATGGGGAGAAAACACACACACACATATATGTAAATTATTTCTTTTCAGATATTTTCTTTTCTCTTCTTAAGATTAAACACATGGCATTCCATATTATGGGCTCTATGAATGTACTTCTATGATAATGCTTACTGGCATTTTAGTCTTTAATATTTCAGGTTAACATGTTTGACGAAGAACTGAGGTAACTTCAGAATAATGGAGCGGAAGATAAAAAAATTAAGCTCTTAAGGCCTCTACTTTTCAATTTTAGTTATTCAAACTGATGCCACAGGGATGGGTCTTTAACAAACAATAAAAATCCACATGAAGTTCAAATTTAAACCAGATGACCGTATAACATCAAATTAGGAGATGCAAAGGACAACACACTCTAGTTAGCTTGTATCTATGTCATAGCCAACTGAAAATGATGTAAGAAAATTCTGTAGCTGAAAGTTGAAAATTTAATAGAGATAAGTCATAAAAATCATTGACAATCATACTTGATTAAAAAAAAATAATAAAATACTAAAGTCAGCAAAAAATTCCATCATAGTAAAGACTCATAAACAATTCTACTTCTTTAAAGTTTAGGTCCAACACTGACCAAATGCACATTGATATTCTGCTGCTGGAATAGGAGTAGGAGAATGAGGGAGGAGAGAACAGGGAAGAAAAAAGGATAATAAATTAAGACTAACAAAAGACTAGGGAAGACAGAACACAGTTAAAAAGGCAAAGGGTTAGAAAAAGGATGCCAATTTCACTGTAAGTAACATCTTCCTCAGAGTGAGGAGAAACAATGTGATTTTTATTTTTATGTTTATTTATTCATTTATTTTTTATTGTACTTCAGGTGAAGGCTTACAGAACAAACAGTTTCTCATGAAACAGAAGTACACATGTTTTATGACACTGGTTAACAACCCCACAACATATCAACCCTCTAACTTCTCAACCTTTTTTTTTTTTGGTGAAAATACACATAGCCAAAGATACACCGTTTCAAAAATTTCTACATGCCCAGTTCAGTGACATTGACTACGCTCTTCCAATTGTGCTGTTATTCTCACTTAAGATGAAGGCTTACAGAACAAAATAGTTTCTCATTTAACAGTTACTACAAATGTTGCCCTATGACAATGGTTAACAATCTCACAACACATCAACACTATCCTTACTCAACCTTGGGTTCCCTATCACCAGCTTCCTTGTCCCCTTCTGCCTTCTGGCCCTTGTCACTGGACTCCTGTACCTCGTTAGTCTCATTTGGTTTTACGGGGCTGTCCACTCCCAGGCTGAACAGTGAACCTCGGAGGTAACTTCACCACTGAGCTAAAAGGGTGTCTGCGGGCCATACTCTCGGGGCTTCTCCAGTCTCCTTTAAGCCAGTAAATCTGGTCTTTTTTTGTGGGTTAGAATTATGCTCTACATCCTTCTCCAGCTCTGTCCAGAACCCTCTGCTGTGATCCCGGTCAGAGCAGTCAGTGGTGGTAGCCGGGCACCATCTAGCTGTACTGGACTCAGTCCGGTGGAGGCCTTGGTAGCTGTGGACAATTAGTCCTTCGGACTAATCTTTTCCTTGTATCCTGTTCTCTTCATTCTCCCTTGCTCCCGAAGAGATGAGACCAGTGGAGTATCTTAGATGGCCGCTCAACAATGTGATTTTTAAAGGGCTGTTCTCTTCCTCAATCATATGTAAGAACAAGCAAATTATCAACTAATCATTTTTAGAGTTCAAGAGTATTTTAAATATGGTGGCCCTAACCATAAAACAAACCTGCTGCCATCGAGTCAATTCCAACTGACAGCAAGCCTATAGGACAGAGTAGAATTGCCCCATAGGGATTCCAAGGAGCAGCTGGTGGATTTGAACTGCTGATCTTTTAGTTAGCAGCTGAGCTCTTAACCATCGTGTCACCAGGGCTCCATGGTGGCCCTACAGACATTAAATAACCATAGCAGCTGAGGTTCTTATTTTTTTTACTTCAGAGACAATTAAATACAAAAATCTCAAGACATAAAGAAGATGAAGAACATGCGACTACTCTGAGAAAATTTTATTTCAGTAAAATAGTTTAATATCCTCATTTATCAATCTCAATTTATCTATGACAAAATCCTTAGGAAATTTTAAGGCATGGATTATACTTTTCAGTGAAGATTTGTGATTCTGCACAATGGTCAACATTACTATTACTAAAGGTAGCAAACTGAAATAAGAAAAATAAGCCCCTTCTTTCAAAGCTTAAATGCAAACTATTTTATTAAAATTTCCATACATATACCAAAAATGGTTTCAGGATCAGGTATGGTGCTGTTATCCAGGGAAATTAATAAATAAATGAATCTATTCAGAAGTAGTTGCAATGTTACAAAGAATTGTGTTGAAGGTCTTCTTAATGTTATGTTCTAATTTTTATCACTCAAAATTTTTTTTATTTAATAAAAATTAGGTGCAACTATATAGAGGAGTAAGAGAGAGAGAACACATTTTAAAAGTTGTTTTAAAAACGTACTAAAAAAAATGTAAACTACAGTTCAAGTTCACAAAATATGACTTCTAATTACTCTATGTGGAAGGCAAATCCTGTGCTAAAATTAACTTCATGATCTAAGAAAACTATGGAATCGTGCGTCTCTAGAAGGCACACCATAGGGATAATGCTTAACTAAACTAGGATGCTCTCTAAAATGAAAATATTTAAAGAATTCTTTCTTTCCTTTTCTTCATAAATTAAATTAACTGGGGGTTGGGGGGAGTGGAACAGTGTCTCTCCATCTCCCTTTCTATTCTATTTACCTGAGACCCTCCAGCCGCCGGGACAAGGCACGCACAAAGGTTTGCAATGAGGCTTTCTAAGGAGACGTTCAGACTGTCCACATATACAGTATAGATCAAACCCAGGCAAGCCTACAAAGAGAAAGATTCATGTAATTACTTCATGGAAAAAGTAAACACTAAAAATAAATTGTTGTGACATCTGCTCCTAGGAAAATTCTTCTTTGAACACAGTAAAGTATATTCTACAGTGAACATGGAATAAATTTTAAGCAGCAAATGTTATTAAGTTTATTAAATTTTCCTCTAGAACCAGAAGCTCTAAATGAGCTTCTGAGATAATTTTATAGAGAGCAGAAATACATAATTTGTAAAACAGGTGCTTGTGCTCTGATAATCACTTTAGCAAATCTATAGAGCTAAAACTCTTATTGCCTCAACATACTTTGCAAATTCCCAAATTTCAAGATAAAAATTTAGAAACTTTGTTTTCAGACTTACTAAATTCAGAACATTTATTCCACAGAATATTTTAACTTACACGAATTATTACAAAGGATAACAAAATAGATAAACTAGAACACAAGATATAATGAAGATTAAGTTTAAGCTTAAAAGAAGGTAGGTGGTAAAATGGAAGACAAAATACAATCTTTGTAAATATTTCAGTTTACTGAAATATGTGACTGAAAAATTAGTATGTTAGGAGTTACCCATTGTCATTGAAATCCTGACATTAATTTTTTTCCACAACAAATATAATCTTGACAATATAAAAATGTTTTCTAGAAATTACATATTAGTAAGAATGTTTATAAATAAAATTGTTTCTTATATTTGAAAATTCTGAGTGTCTAGAAAAAGAAAATACCTGGTAGTAAATGTTATTTTAAAGCTATGTTGGCAGTAGTATAATCAGAGCAATTTAAAATCTCAAATAGCCATCCTGTTCATTCATAAGAATGTGGATAAACATACAGAAAGTTTGAAACTAACAACGCATTTTAAATTTGCTACAGGCAATCAAGTTATTTCTTTAGGATTCATAAATTTAGGATTCCATAAACGCGGGCATATTTTCAACAAATACTACATGCTTAGAAGTTTAAATAGTTACATTAACTTCTTCAGGTTGTCATTTAATCCTTTATGAATTTTTGTTCTGCTCATACTAATTTTATTTTATTGATGAATTCCTAAATTAATCTAAAGATATTTTAAATACAAAGAACTCGTCATCATGGTTCACTCAAAACAGATTCACATAATAATATAAACAATAATAACAACTATGAGTTCTTTACCCTAAAAATTTCTGGATAATCTAATCTGGATACCAACACCAGGCTTTTGGGAGCAAACACTTCTGCAGGCTGGATTAAACCAGATACTTCCTCTTCACCTTCAATCTCTTCCTTCTTTGTTCCCTAGAAAAAGAGATACTGTAATAAATAGATAGAACTTCCTAAATTGGTAATTCACAAAAGACAGACATACTATATACCTTCAAATAATATAATTTACAAAAAATCCAACTAAACATAAAGAATATACTCTCAGAAGAATCTCAGAGGTAAGTAAACAAAGAAATTATAAAGCACAGAATACTTACTCATTTTTTAAAAGCCCTTAAGCTCCAGAGGTTTCTGGAGTGACGTACAAGTAATCAAAAATAAATAATATATGTTCAAATTATTTTAAGTAGTGACTCAAACAATTAAAAATGACACTCAATTAAATAGAAAGTCAGTTTTCAAGAGAAGAAAAATCTGTTTTAGAAATAAGACACTAATTTTCAGTTTTTTTTTCCCTGTCCCAGTCTTTCAAACAAAATTGACAATCATTTCAGATTCTAAGGATAACAGAATGCTCAATGCTCATGGAAGAAGCACAATCAACTCTAAATTCCTTTTGCTCATAAGCAACAATGTTGATATTTTGAGAAGAGAGAATTTTTACACAAAAAACTAAATTTCAACGATTAAATACTGGTGAATAAAATAAACTTTAAAAAAGATTATTCTCATTTATGAGTCAACAAATATTTCCTGGGCACCTACTTTTCCCACAATACTATATTATGCACTGTAAAAGTTTTAAAGAGTTTTAAACAATGGTAAGGTAATAAAGCATGCAGGTTTCTTTCTATATGATATTCTAAAATTGTAGGACATTTTCTCTAACAAGAATCTACCTTTCTCTTTCCTTTCTACTAATTAAAGACCCAGTTCATAAGTTAATCTTCCTCCCTAACTCATTTCATTGCCTGATTTATCTTTCTTTTACTTCCCAGTGCTGGCCCCCAACAAATCACATTAACTTATACTTATTTCTCCTGCCAAACCTCTCCCCAAAATGCCCCACTTGAATATCCAGCTATGTGCTTGACATCTCCACTTAGATGAATAACAGTCATCTCAAACAGCCCAAAACAGCTCTAGTTTTTCTCCCCAAGCCCCAGTCCTCCTGCAGTAGGTAGTCCCTTATCTCAGTTAATGGCAATCCCATCCTTCCACTAAGGGCCTATGTACTTCCTTGTTGTTCCTTTGCCTGGAATACTCTTTCCACAGATATCCTAATGGCTAATCCCCTCATCTCCACTAGGTATTTATTAAATTGCTACCTGCTCTGTTAGGTTTTTGCTGCCTCCCCCGCCCCTTTTTAAAGTAAAACAAAATTTATTTGTAAAACAAGACCTGTTGTGTGAAGTGGCATGGCTACCCCTCTTGAAACTGCAATGCCCTAATACTCCCTAATCCCTTTCCCAGATTTATTTTTCTCTATATTACTTGTCATCATCCAACATACTATCTGTTTTACTTATCTTGATTTTGATTTGTCTCCCCAACTAGAATACACTGCAGAAAGGCCAGGATTTCTGTCTTTTTTTTGTTCACCGATGATCTAGTTCCTATAACAAGGGCTAGGCACACAGTAAATACTTAATATTTGTTTAATGCATACACACAGGGACAAATTTTCTTGGAATGGTTTTCTGGGTATTTTACCAAGGGAAGTCTTTCCTCCGTTTTCATGGAGACCAAGAACTGTATTTTCCATCTCCTTTAGAGCCCATATAGTTTCTAGTACAATGCAATATAACCACGTACTAGATGTCTGTGGAATGCATAGGTATATCCAAAGGGAACTATCTGTTTACTTTTTATACGTGCAATAAGGTCCATATGCTCTTGAAAAATTTTCATTTGTTACAAACAAAAAGCTAAAATTAGGTTGATTGGTTTCTGGAATCCTTAGAAATAATAAAAAAAAGTGATGAATATGAATCTACCAAAGATTTCCACACTTAATGAATCATATTCTTCATGGATTACTAACAAATTCAAACTGACAAAAGAATGACTGAAATTCTTGGAAGAGATAAAGCTATTCACATTTTTATGAGATTGTGATAAATGCCCTGGAGTGCCATTAGAAACCAGCTTGAGTAAGTAGATAAACATTTCAAATAAATGACTATTAACCTACTTTGACCAAAACAAAAAACAGAATATATTGGCCATCTCTTAAGACTGTTTTTTTAATTAAACACTCACTAAATGGAACAGTTATTAACAGACGGAAAAAAAAAGGTCCAATATAATGCAAATCAACATCAAGTAAAAACAATTCCATTTTTATTTACATCACTTTTTACTACAGATGCTGACTCTTACATTGTAAATGTGCTATAAATCATAAGATGTTGTTATGCTTAACTCCAATAGCTTTCTTACAAGAGTTCAATGTCTCAAGTTTAAAAAAATTCATACTCTCCTCTTTAAAGCAAAATATACTAGTATGATTTTAAAAAACACAAAAACTACGCACTGCTAGGTAATATAGTTTTGTTCTAAGAGACAGTAATATGGTGTGTTCAAATTTTTGTAGAAACACTCAAGTTATCATATAAGAGGAATACAGATTATTCTACATAACTGCTAGAGTATCTTCTGTGTAATAATTATATAATGATATTGGCTTTGTGTTTTACAGTAACAGATTTTCACATATGTGAAAAGGTATAGGAAACTTGAAAATAAGTAAGAAAATCAAAATATAGGCTATGAATATAAGATGTGTTACAATAACACTTGGAAATTTAATATTTTATAGTATACAGTATTTTCACTAATTTTTGCAAACCTTCTAAACTGATAAGATTACTCCTTGTAGGTCCTATTAAAGATAAAAACTTACCTCAAACACCATTTACTAAACTGTCTCACAAGTGCACCTCATCTTTTATACACATTATAATCACATACTACAACTTGCCCATTTATCAATTCTTCATCTATTATTACTATGGACTACATCTGCTCGTGGGATTCCCAGCTTCTGTGTGGCTCACAATCCCTAGGACAGCACCTATAACAGTACCTGGGCTTCAATAATATGGAATAAATTATTACTAACCATATCAATCTGCCCTGAAAATGCTATAGCCCTCCAAAGATATCCTGAGACAAAAATGCTAAAATTACTAGATTGTTGATTTTATAGGATGATGCCATACAGAAAACAGGTATAAATTTTAAGTTTTTCCTATCCATCACTCAGCCTCACGTTTGTTGCATTTCTGACTCTTGATTGCCACATCAAACCAAATGCAAAGTCTTGTCATTTCCACCCCCACCAAAAGTTGTTGCATCCAACATCTGCTGTGTGCTAAGATGACTCTCAATAACATCAATTTTATGCTAAAAATCTTCAACAAAATTTTGAAGCAGTTTAAAAACAAGGAAAATACATATAATTATGCAAGTAAAAAATTTTCAGTTCTAAATTTCCTTTTTGAAATGTAAGTAATTTATTCTGATGGATCATTATACAGAATCTACTCAGTTAAGAAATTTAAAAACTTTAAAATTCTCAAAATTGGAAATAAAGTCATTGCAAAATTCTGTAAGGACTAAAAATTCCCCCTAAAAAGCTTTCTCATTTCTTGCCAAATAATCTGTTAATCATAATATGCACATTATAAAATCTAGTTCATTCTTGTATTGGTCTGGAAAATAATGAATACATGAGAAATATACATTTTAGGATAATAAGCCTTCAGGAAAATCAAATCACTAGTCTTTAGTTTACAACTGAGTTTACCTCTAGCAAAAATAACACCCTGCAGATTTTCTCCTTCAATAGCTCCTGGGCTCTACAGTATTCTGAAGGTAGGACAAATTCAACTGTAGGGCTATTATATATTCAACCAGAAAGTCTTCTATTTTGTGGCAAATACTCCATAAGTTGCTTTTTTTTTTTTTTTTTTTAATATACTCAAAACCCAGCATTTTCCACAATGCTTTCTGCTGGAAACTAATAAATGTTACTTAGCAAAAGGGTCTCCTAATCATAGAATTTTAAAGCAATAAGTTAAACCAAGTTAAAAAGGTTTCTTTACTGTAGTGTAAAAACAGCATGGGGGCAGTGTCTGACGTCCTCCAACCCCACAAGAGGGAAGGAGAACCAAGGTCAACAGCGCAAGGCTGACTACCATGAGGTGGAGGCCAGACAAGCCTCCTCTCTCTGCCATCTTTACTAATTCTATGTGTAGCCAATCAGTTGAAAGGGAGTTTCCTTGGAGGTGTGGCCTGCATCAGTATAAGTCGACTTTCTGGCAAGGCTCATGGGCTTTTGCTCACATTGGATCCTACAGCTGGGCTCCTGTTCGTCTGACCTCCAGTTCTTGGGACTTAAGCTAGCAGCTTACATGCCATCTTGCCTGCTGATCTTGGGATTCGTTGGGCTTCACAGCCTGTGAGCCAGAGAGCCCTGTTGTCTCATTTGCCAGTCTTGGGTCTGCCAGTGCCTGTGGCTATGTGAATGAGGAGAAATCTCCAGCCTGACCCACAGACTTGAGATGTTCTAGCCTCTACAACCACGTGAGCCATTTCCTTAACATAAATCTCTCTCTATATATATTTATATACTCTACTGGTTTTGCTTCTCTAGAGAACCCAGCCTAAGACATTGGGGGACTGTTATAAGAGATTTAAGTATCAACATCAACCAAATGCAATGTTTGGACTCTGAATTCTCATTTGAATAAACCAAAACATTTTTGAGACAATACAAAAACTGAGTAAAGAATGAATATTATATGAAATTAAGGAATTATTAAAAATTAAATTTTGTTAAATATTACAATAGCAAAGTGGTAAGATTTTAAAAAATCCTTTTCAGTTAGAGATACATATTGAAATACAAGTAAAATGATATAGTGTCTAGGGTTTGCTTTAAAATGCCCCACTCCCCAAAAGAAAGCAGAGATTCAGATTTTAAAAGATTAACAAATGTTGATAATATTTAAAGCTGAGTAACACATGGGGTCACCATTAGTTGGAATCAACTTGATGGCAAGTTAACAACAACAACAGTATGTACTGTGCTCATTATACTCTCTCTTTACTGTTCTATATGCTTG